AAAAATAAAAAAACCTTAAATTTAAATATTGACATACAAAACATAAGTTTAAAACTACTATTTGGATGGTCGTGTTCCATTCGGCAAGACTTCATAACACCACTGATTGTAACCTCCCTCTAATGCACCATCCATCAACTTCATCAACTGTTCGTTCGTATCATCATCAAGAGTATACTTACACTGTTACATATATATATATATATATACACGCAGGTAATTAATTCCAACATATAATTAAAAATATCACAAACTTAATTATTGATCCATCAACAATATACTTACTAATAGTTCATCCATCACAACCTTCTTCACATTCACACTCTTATCCTTGTGTTTATCCGCCATCCCAACACGAAAGAAGAACAGAATTGTGAAGAAAAAGGACAGCAGAAGCACATATTTATAGGAAAGTTTGGACCTTTGCGCAATGAAGGATTTGTCGCGCAAACATCTGTATTAAATGCCGTATTAATTCCTTTGATTTACCTGCAGTAAATGGTCAAAACTGACAGGAACTTGTGCGACGAACAATTTGTCGTGCAAAGGCCAATTTTTCGAGGCAAAAAAAATTACCCGACGTTTTCTTGTTGACTTTACATGACGATGACGGTTAGTCCTCGCACTAAGTATTTTTGCGCGATGAAAATATTCATCGCGCAATTTTTTTTTTTTTTTTTTTTGTTTCCTATCCTCTTTTTTTACGCGATGATTTTTTATTTTTTTTTGTCACACACGAAATTTTTTTGATCACTCAAAATATTGTCGCGCAAGCTGTTTTTTCTACTAGTGTTTAGACAAAAAGAAAAAAAAGAAAAAAAGATGCGGAGGTGTGCAAATGAACACACTTTTACAAACTGTACTATATATATATAAATACGAGCAATCTCATAATGGTGAAAAGGACAGGGAAGGAGAGCCATAGCTGCTCCTTGTGGAAAGTGCTTGGAGAAGATAAATGGGATGGTAGAGAATATATAGTTTTGGTTACGAAATTGCATGCACGTTCAGATTATTATATGCTCAAGATTGGTGCTAATTAAGTAAAAAGGTACCTTGTGCAGACATGGAAATTTCGTTGCTTACAAAAGGTGCATCACAAAGCTCCACATGACATATGACTCACAAATGGACAAGTCATCAATAATATTGGCACAGATTAAGTAAAGGAAGTGTAAAACATTCCCAAAATTCAGCAAAAGGGAGAAAATCTCCCTTAAAATCGGCAAGGGGCCCAAAATCTCTCAAAATCTGAAAGAAAACCAAAGCATCTTCATAAAATAAGCAAGAATTGAAGATTGCTCACAAATAGGTAATAAGGCCTATAAATTTTGGCCAATATGAGGAAGGTGACTGAAATTAAGACACAAAATATGCCTAAATTCTCCCATGGACGAATCAAGACACAAATCAAGGCCAAATCCATCCAAAAGCATGGCTTTAGAAGTCTATAAATACAAGGATCCGAGACACACATTCAAGGTCGGAAATTCTACATTTAGAAGAACCTCTGCACAAATCTTTGAAGACTAATACGCTGCCAAAGCTCTCTTCAAAGAACTTAGGACCAAAGCCGAAGCACTCCCTTGAAGAATCAACAAGCACTCGTGCCGATTCTTTCAAGACTTCATTGCAAGCTCAAAACTTGTAACGACGTTTGTTTCAAGATCAAGACGCCAAGACCCTTAAATCAACAAAATCCTACATCAACTCTACCTTTGCCGCAGCTTTGAGGTGAAGACCATCCATGCATTGTTTCAAGCTCAAAACTTGAAGCAATCATTCAATCGTTCGTCCAAGATCAAGTCATCGCGACCCTTGGATCAACAACCTAAGCATCTACATCAAATTTGAAGACTGAATCAAAGGAAAATTGTAAATAGAGATTGTAACCTACAAATTCAATCAATACAAAATTACTTTGTACACGTGTTCTCATTTCATTCGTTACAGAATTTTCGTGTTTACACCTTGTGCCATCTTTTACTCTAATTAGTGGCCAAACCCTACTAAACCTTTGAAGTTATAACTCCTTAATGAGGTGTTTCTAGTGTATTTGACTAGTATTTTTTTCTGTCATTGCATAATCATCAAAGCATGATGTATCGATATACTAATAGGGAATGACGAACGAGAATTGAAAGGCAGATTTTCCAAAGACAGGCAGTGGTTTGGCAGACACAATGGTCCAGGCTTGAATGTTATTAAAATCTTTTGCCGCCTAAGTATTTTGACATTGTTAATATTGTATTTTTACCAGAAGATTGTTTGGTGCGGCTGTATGAAATTTAATATGCTACTAAATTACCATTTTTGGCTACGTGCAATTCCAACGTCAAAACCGTTTTAAAGGAAGTTGAGGTCTCACTCCAAAACCAAATTAGCGATAAAAGGAAGTACATACCCAACATGCCTGTATTTGTTTAGATTAGCTTAAACAAAGCTGCCACAAATAGGGGTGGGTGCCGTTATGTTTGATTTGCTTTGACACCAAAATATAATCGAACCAACAAGCTTTCAACGGGGTTCAGTTTGTCCAATGCCAGTATTGAAATTGAATCGAACTAAACTAAGCCATTGTTGGTTGGTTTGGTTCGGTTTAATTTGATTTGGTTTGGCTCGATCAGTTAAAGCCTAGTCCAACACATAAATAAAAATGTCTTAACATTTCAAGAGTTTTAGGGCCTGTTTGGTATCCTATTTGAAATTTTTTATTATTTCTTGAAAATAATTCTCTTTAAAACTCAAAAACTTGATTTGTTTGCGATTTAAAATTATTAAATCGTATGACTTAAACTAGACAAAGAGATCTAAAAAAAGGGGATCGCAGAAGAGGGAGAAAGAGAAGAGAGGAGGAAAGAAAGTAAGAGATGATTGAAGGAAAGAGAAAGGAGGGAGATGATTGGATGAGATAGAGAGAAAGAGGAGTGTGAGAATGACCCAAGAGAATGAAGAGAGTGGATTGGAGAAGAGACGAAAAGGTAAGAAAAAAAAGAATGAAAGAGAAAGAAAAGAGAAAGAGAAGGAAAAGAGAGTGAGAGAGAGATATAGATTTGGAGTGAGTGGGGAGGGATCAAGATCCTCTTCGGAGTAAATGATGAGGATCCACCTGACCAAGCCCATCGGACCGTTCAAATTTTATTCAACAATTACAAACAGGAGGTTCCTCTAAAAGTTATAATAATAGTAACTTTTGATAGAATTTGAACGGCCCGATGAGCCTGGTCAGGAGGATCCTCACCATTTGCTTAGGAGAGGATCCTGATCCAGTGGGGAGGAGAGAGAGAAAAGACAGGAGTGAGTTTAAGTTTAAAAACTCTAAAAACTCACTTTTTATGTTTGTAGAGAATATGCTATATTTTTTAGTTAGTCTTAAGTTCAGTTTTTTAAAATAGTTCTACCAAACAAGTTTTTAAGGCATAAAACTTGAAAATTATTTTTTAGTATAAAAAGTTGGATTCAAGTTGAGTACTAAACAAGCCATTAATATTCTACAGAGTACATACCTTTCACGTTCCAATACATTTCAAGAGTTATAACTTATGGCCTACTTGTTCATTATTTGTATCGTCCATTTATCAACTGACAAATCAAGGTCGTCTTCTGATTCCATCACTGAATATTATTATTATTATTATTTTCAGATTCAACTTTATCTCAAACGTTCATATCATTCTATCATCCCAATTCAATGATGAATTGTTGAAACTTTATGTGTTCACTGGTAGAATGTCACGACTTTAGTTTTGCCAAGTATAATTTTTGGTCTGCTACTACAACATTTGTTCTTCCTTCTCCAAACAACCCAACTATATCAAGAGACTCTCTTTGCTTCAGACCAATGATTTGGTTTTGACAGCAGGTGTCGTATATGCATCAACCTCACAACTTCCGCTGCATTCTTTCGGAAGCAACAAATGAATGGGAGGGTGTAATGGCAAAGTTCGATTCCTCAAGGCCTGTTTCCTCGACCACGACGCCTTTTGTAGATAAGACTTGTCTCACCTCTGCTTGTGCCTTGGTCATCACTCTTGGTGTTTTCAGCATTTCTGACATCTCCCATTTCACAGTTGAAGATGAAGTTTCAATCCCTGCAGTGAAAATATCCTGAAATATTAGAATACGAGATTCAGTAGGATTATCATGTTGCAAACAAAAATTACACAAATAAATCGATAATTTGCATACAAAATTAAGCAATCTGACCCGGAGAACCGTTTTGATATTGTCATTTATAGGAACATCAAGCTCGTTAGAAGATCGTCCGTTTTGTCCTTGCCTGTAGTCTCGGCTGCCTCCTTGCTGTCTTTATGATCTTCGACAATGTGAATATTCTCAAGTTATCCCTCATTCCACTGATCACAGCAATTCACATGAAGTATTTTGATGGAAGGGAATATATCATCCACCTCGAAGCCACCCGTTGCATTTGCACCTTCCCTACGTTCTTCTTGGACCATGTCTTTGCGTTTGTTGCCAACTACCACTCTGGCAGTGATGCCATATGTCATGGAAATGATAATCTCTCCAAGGTTGATAGGTGATTCGATGTTCGAAGAAAATAAATTTGAATGAGTTAGATCCTTTCTATTCCCTGATTTATGGAAAGACTCAACTCTTTTTGCGCAAAAGCAATGCCGGAACCACCATAAGAGATGATATCCGGAACAAGAAGTGGCCTGGAAGAAGTTGCTGTCATGGGTTCTCATGATCTCTTTTGCTGCTTTTGCAAACCTAACACACTTGAGGGAACGACCTTAGCCTAATCTGATCTTCTTTTCTAACAATACTCATTGAATCAATCAATGACAACGTTTTCTATACAACTGAAATCGAGTATAATTCAAACACAAGACGTCTGATGTGTCGACATACATTATCCCAAAGATACAGTGACAACGTACCGGGCATTACATCTTGAATGCTTCTGACTAACCAAGCTAAAACCGGTGCATTACATCTTGAATGCTTCTAACTAAACAAGCTAAAATCATCACAAGTAAACATACTAACCCCGAACTTTGACATTCAAAACAAACAATAATCTTAACATCTTACAATAGTACAAAACAGTACACACAATAATACTGAAACACCAATTCTGAGAAAGAATACAAACCCCATTACATGTTACATAATCTGCATCGAGGCAGGAGGCTCTCTATATGCTAATAGGAGAACTTCAATTTCTGCTTAAACCACAAGCAGAAAAAATCCCCAGAAAAACAACTAAAATTTTTCAAAAGATCCAAACGGGCCTCTAAATAACGAGAGCACCCGTTTTATGTAAGTTACTCTTAAACAACGTAATCATACCACTCAGCTATATTGGAAGTATGGTCCATAGTAAAACTAGGCATCTTGTCCAACTTAACTGGATTTTTCCCTCCAAGCAACTTGGCCGGATTCCCAACCACCGTCGTCCTCGCCGGCACTTCCTTTATCACCACAGACCCAGCCCCAATCTTTGCCCCTTCCCCAATCCTAATGTTCCCCAATATACAGGTCCCTGCCCCAATCAGCACCCCATCCCCAATTTTGGGGTGCCGGTCCCCAGATTCCTTTCCGGTCCCTCCCAAAGTCACACTGTGCAAAATTGACACATTGTTCCCAATCACCGCCGTCTCTCCCACCACGAGCCCGGTGGCGTGGTCCAGCAGTATCCCGCTTCCGATTTTCGCTCCCGGGTGAATGTCCACCGCGAAAATTTCGGACACCCTGTTCTGAATCAGCAAAGCCAGGACCTTCCTCCCCTGCAACCACAATTTGTGCGCCGCCCGGTGGGCTTGGCACGCAAGAAATCCCTTGAAATTCAAGAGGCAGTGCGTGTAACTCACGCACGCCGGGTCCCGCTCCTTCACCGCACTCAGATCATCCTTCACGGCCCTGACCACTTCCTGATCCTGTGCGAACACCCCCATGAAAATATCCACTAGGGTCGCACAGGAGAGGCTAGGATTGCTTAATTTCACAGACAGATGGTGGGCTAAAGCACTTTCCAGAGAAGGATGCGACAGAATAGAAGTGTAATAGTAATCTGACAAGGTGGGTTCTTCATCTATATCCGAGCGAGCTTCATCCTGCATTCTGAGCCATAGATCTTCATCGGGGCCGAGATCCTCCACGATTCTGCGCGTCTGAGTTGTTTTCGTGCGATTCTGGGAAATGGGTGCGCAGGAAACCTGATCAGAGAAACTGCGGCGGCAGAACTTCATGAAATGGTAGCCGTCTTCGTCGGATGTGGACCTGTTTGAATCCCAACAAAGTGCGTGGCTTTGAGTGTGGATGCAGGCAGCCATGGGAGTCGAGAGGGCTTGAGAATTTGAGAGGATAGAGAAGTGAGGGGAGAGGACTTTGGGAGTTGAGAGAAAAGGGGACGCCTTCAACAGGGCCCGAGTTATGACCGGAACTTTCATGGAAATTTTGAGATTTTGTCGGGAAAGTTGGAAGAAAATAATTACCAGATAATGAAGGAAGAAAGAAAAATGGAAGTGTGGGATTGCGGGGTGGAGGAGGGTTGGTCCAATGGATGCACATAATTAAAATTTATAAAAAAATCCAAATGTACTGTAACTTTCGGAAACAAGTTTACTCTCCGTCGTGTATGGCCAAAAAAAAAAAAAAAAGAAAACTCTTATGTCCCGTTGTTTTTTCCTTTTCTTTTCTTCATCTGGTTTTTAGGTCGAGTTCAGTCCAACAAACTGTCCAAGTCGGTCTTTTTGATTGATTGAATCCAAGTGCTTTACCCTAGGTCGTGTTTTTATATTTGTCGCAAATTTCTTCTTTTTTGTTTTTCTTTATCTGTTGTTTTTTTATTTTCGGAACATTATCTTCTTTTTTTAAAAGAAAAACTTGCTCAGATCCACATAGCATCAATACTATTAGAGTGGGCCCCATAATATGTCGCATATTAACAAATATTGTAGAAAAATTCAAATAAAAGAACCATTTGATATGTAGCACTCTTATTAAAGTGTAAAATTGATCGATTTTTAATTTTATACACTATTTTGATAAGATAAATTAATTTCAAAAGAAAAACTTTTGTGGAGCTTAACTTATCTTAATGAGTGGCAATAGCATCCACTCAAAAATTGTCACATGAAGAATTTTAAGTATAATTTTCTTCTTTTTTTATATTCAAATTTATCATAATTATTTTTCATTCTATTTAATATATAGCATCAAATTAATCTAACGAACTCTTTTTTTTTTCTCTCTCTCTTTTTTCTTCTCAAATTTTCGGTTCCGTATGGAAGTGGACATCTCAACTTTAGCTTTTCAAGCATGCTTCTAGAAAATGTCCAGATGCATGTATTTTCTGAGAGGAAATAAGTGTTAACCAAAATAAAGTGAAGATAACAAATACGTTGTGAAATTCAACTCCATAATCAGGAGTGAGTCTGTACGTTAATATTTATAAAGACTTAAAGAGTTTACAGTTAAAATTCTAATCCTTGTAGGATAAAGATTAACACACAAACTAATACTCTTTCCCCAGTTTCTTATGAAGAAACGCAAGAAATAGTGCGGGTGAGCGAAGAATGCATACGCTAGGGAAAATTTGACAAAAAAAGGAGAGAGATGAAAGAAGAGAGAAAAAAAATGAGCCGTTGGATGAATCTATGGTGTGTAATTATTAGAAAGAAAATTAATCATGAGATATTTAAGTATAGAAGAATGGAAAAAAATACACACACACACACACACTTAAAGCTAGCCACGTGGCAAGCTTTGAGTGGATGGTAGTATCACTTAGCAAGATTCAGTGGCAAATTAAGCCACACACAAGTTTTCTCCAATGTGAGAAACTAAAAACCCAAAAGATTAAATAAGAACAACTACTCAAATTTTTCTTTTACTAGATTTAAAATATTTTAAATAACTATTAAACGTTTTGAAGATGATAATGTTAGGGCAAATTTGATTGCAAATCAAATAATGTGGTTGTAGATGATTGTATAATTAATTAAGTGTCAATTAACGTGTTTATTTCTTATTGGTGACACATCATTTGGTTTAAAAATTTTGGTCTTCCTAGCATTATCTTTTAAAAATTAGACAGATATTAGGCTATTAGCATTAGGTGATAAAGTGAAAAATATTGATGTGAGTTTTAACTCTGAAGTCATCTATGGAGTTTTGAATTCCCATAATCAATCTTAATCAATCTCATAGTGAGCTTCAATATTTGTGCATGTTAGCACCTAATGTTGGTGACCTAATAGATGTGTAATTTCAAAATGTCAGGTAGTGTTTAGAAAATTGGGTAAATGACAAAAAACCATCTCAACTATTGATCTCACGACACTATTATACCTCATCTTTAGAATTTGGTCCAATGTTATACCTTCCGTTAGCTTGGCCGTGAATTTCTCAGTTAAATACTGACGTGACTTGATCTGAGATCCATTTTCTATTAAAAAAATAATAATTTACCCTTAAAAATAAAAAAATAAAAAATAAAAAAACAACCGAACACCCATCTTCCCCAATCCCTTCCCCTTCTCTGCAACCCTCGACCCCTTCCCCACTCACGCAAACATCTCCCCCCCCCAGATCCACTCCTCTTCTCTGCTGCCTACCCCTCTCCCCGAAATGGACCAACCCAGATTCGTAATCGAAGCCTCCGAGGCCGAATCAATGGAAGCAGTCTAACTTCACATTATTCAAATTCTCAGCCCAAATCACCCCGTAGGCCACCGATCAAACCCTCAAGAATTTCATTTTCAGCGTTGACCGCCACTTCAAGCCCTCAATTTTCCCCACCCACTACCACTAGTACGCCTCTGAATTCGCCGACCCGCCCCAGATCCTCCGCGTCTACAACACCATTTTCCATGGCTTCTCAGCGTCTCTCACTCCCAACCAAGTCTTCTCCATCTCCGACCATCCTTCAGTGTTTGCTGTGATCCCGGACCGCTGCCGAAGTCTCCACATTACTCGATCACCACAATTTTTGGGGCTCAAGAACCAGAGGGGGCTATGGTAGGAATCTGACTATGGCTCCGACGTCATCATCGGAGTATTTGACACCAGCGTCAGGCCGGAGCGTCGGAGTTTCATGGATAAGAATCTTGGGCCGATTCTAAGGCAGTGGAAGGGAGTTTGTAGAACTTGACGAAGGAGGGGAGAAGCTGGAAGACGATGAGGTTGCAGGGAAGGGAGGGGAAATGTGGGTCTTGGGGGGAGATGTTGGCGTGGGTGGGGAAGGGGTAGGGTGTTGCAGGGAAGGGCAAGGGGAAGGGATCTGGGTTTTGGTTTTGGGTTGCAGGGAAGAGGAAGGGGTCGGGGAAGATAGGTGTTTGGGTTGTTTATTTTTTATTTTATTCTATTTTTGTTTTTTTTTTTTAAAGGTAAATTTTTTTTAAATATTTTATTAATTTTTTTAATAGAAATGGGTTCCGGATTAAGCCACGTTAGCATTTAACTGAGAAATTCACGACTAAGCTAACAGAAGGTATAACATTGGACCAAATTCTAAATATGAGGTATGACATTGTCAATTTTAAAAGATGAGGTATGATAGTGTCATGAGACAAATAGTTGAGGTAGTTTTGTGTAATTTATCCTAGAAAATTTTATAAAGAAAACTAATGAAAATAACTTGAAAACTTTGAATTTTAATCAAAATGACAAAAAAGTGTTGTAAGTGAATAGTATCTTGAGTGACTTTTTAGAGTAAAAGTGTAATTTTCGTTAAAGTGAACAGTACCGGAAGTGTTTCGTTAGAACTCCCAATTTTATCAGGTTGAAGCTAATTTAAAATCAGCCCCAATAGGTTACGTAGAAAATCATCTATTACAAAAAAAATTGATTGTTTCAGTTGTATCGCAAAGCTAGTAAGATAAAGAGATTCGGCATGACCTTTGAACCAAAATGTCATCGAAAAGAATAATGTAACAACACCATGTTGTTGTAAAATCAACGATGTGTGTACAGTGGAATAAATAAAACAAGACACAAAATTTACGAGGTTCCTCTACAGTCAGTGTGACTGGAGTACGTCCTCGGGCAGCAGTAGTGTTTTCATTATAATTTGGAATAATAGGAGTACAAAGATAACTCTATTTATTCCCTCCTCTCCTCTTCCTCTCTTTCTCTTCCCTCATCTCTTTCTCTTTGTGCTCTGTATTGAGAGCATACGGAGTGCTCTATTTATAGAGCAACTCCAAGTACACATCTTTGACAATATAATCTTTCTTCATCTCCCAAGTCAAGATTAATTTTATGGGCATTGAAAATCTACCCAATGTCTTCAGTTTCTATGTGGGCATTCATTACCCACTAGACTTTTCAACCCTCCCCCTTGGATGCCCACATATCAACATGAGTTGCCTCGTTAAGATCTTGATTATTTTTGGATGCTTCCCCTTAATGAGTATCTCCCCCTGATTTCAAATTATTTAGGCTGATCATTGATCCTGCTGCTTTAGTTTTTTAGTGGTGATAGTTACCGAATGAGGTGTTTCACTTGTTGTTAACTTTCCACAGACTTGCTCTTGAACTGGGTTGGAGGGCCTTCTGCTAGACTTCCTCCGAAGGTCTGAATTTACCTATTTTATCTGAAGCTGAATTTGATTCAAGGGTGGTGGACACTTGATCTTGAATCAGACTTGTGATTTCTTCAAAGGCCGTCTAGGCTTTATCTTGAATGAAATTGGACCATGAGGAGCTTCAGTGATCTTAGACTTTGTCGGGGATGAACTGACATGTGTTTGTTGTGCTTGTTTCCACATGCTTCAATGTATCATTTTCACTTGCCTTACTTGCTCCCCTTGCAAAAGTGGTAGTTTCCTTATGCATGTTTGGCATCTTCTCTTGTAGTATTTATCCTCTGATACAGGAGTTAAATGCAAACCTTGCATTTGAATGGACCATCACTTCTTGGTGGCAGCGAAAGTTTGAGTGGAGGTTCCGACATATTGCTTTCTTTGTCCTTGTCTTGGCAGGTAAGAACAAGGGCAAAGGAAAGGACAGGGAGATTGCATGATCCGAAGGTCGGACTCAAAATGACAATCGGGGCTTCGAGTCTTTATTCCAAAGATATCCATTGTCTCAGCTGTCTGGAGTTCCACCAAGTATTGAGACTCCAAATAATCAACTTTTGATGTCTCCCCCTTATGGGGTACTTCCGAGTACTGAGGCTTCACATGAGCAACCTTTGTGAAGGTTCCCTCCTATGTGTATGTAATTTCTCGGAGATATTAATATATAAGCTTTATTTCATTCAGTGTATTGTGTTAAATACAATAAAGCATATATTTCACTAAGATGGGGTACCTCTGGACCAAATATCAATTTATCTTTACCCTCGCGAAGATAAATGATCATTCTTAGTGTCGAAATCATCTAAGTATTTAACTCATAATCTTCAATCCATATGATTCTTTAATATCATAAACATCATGGATAAG